GGGATCATTGCATTAGATGAGGTTACAGCAGATGCAGTGGCGCTGGTGCACTCCAGCCTGTCCTTGCTCTCCCTCTCTCCGCAGTCAGCTCTTCTTCTGAAGGATGACCACACGGAATAAGAGCAGCCCCAGGCCCACCACCTCACTCCAGGTGGCAATACAGAAGCACAGCTTCTGATGGCTTCCCCGCATCTTCAGTTTGCAGCCTCATTTCGGTGCTTGGACGTGCTTAACTTCTCAGGTTGATGACTTCTCCAAAACTCCAAATTCCTTCCTGGAACATCACTTGCCCCAGATCCTCCTATGACCAGACAACGTCCCATTCTTGAACTAAATCCCTTGTCCCCTAGATAGCTCACAGTGCTTCTGCTTTCAGAGTGAGCCCTGAATGATTCAAAATGCTGTATCACACTAGGGGAAGAGACTTCCAAGTGGTGAGTGACTGAGAGAATAGTTCCTACTTCTGGAAACCAAAAAATTGCTGATTATTATCATGTCATTATTAACTAGTAATAATAGTAGTTGCCATTTATTGAGTACCCACTATATGCGAGACACACGGCCTTATATGCCTTGTGCCATTTACTCCTCACAAAAACCTTCTGAGGTAGGCACTTGTCCTATTTTGCAGGTAAGAAAGCTTTTAGAGCTAGCTCAGTGCTGAAAATGTACACTCTTGACTATTCTATTTTCATAAAATGCTCCTCCACATGTCACACATTGAAATTATTTATTTACATATAGGTGTCCTCTACTAGACTATGAGATTTCAAGGTCAAAAAGTACATATTTTTAATATCTTCATTCTTAAAGACAGGGTCTGAAAATTAGAAGGTCTATGATAAATGTTTGCTAAAGAAATTGATGAATAGAAGGAATAGTGGTGAGAACTGTGGCCAGCATTAGTACTTCTGGTTAAAGAAAATTGGCAGTGAGTCTTGCGACTGACATTTGTTCACATTTCTCGGATGGGAGCCTAGCTACGTAAAAGAATTCCGAAAGAATACAGAGTAAGCTTGTGCTATTAATGGGAACAATGGTGATAAAAAGAAAATTTTATTATCTAGATCACTTCACATTTTGGTGGGAGGTCGGGGACAACAGGGAAGGGTATGCATTTTATAGAAAAAGCATATAGTACTTTGGAATGTGGCATTTGTTTTTACTTTAAGGCGCGCATACACCTACTTGGCAGTAGGGGGAGCAAGATGCAGGGAAATCTAAAATTTTACACTGGACAAAAAATGTGAAGACAACTGAGTCATCTAGGGATAAAAGCATGGGAAAGTGATTTGACACAAAGCCGTCTGAAATGGGCTATTCATATATTTTAAATACTAACTCCTTAATTTAAAAGAGTTTTGAATTGGATACTTGAAAGAGTGTGAGGGTGAGAGGGAATGGGTGATGAGAAATTACTTAATGGGTACCATGTACATTATTCAGGTGATGGACATAGTAGAAGCCCAGACTTCACCATTATTCAAGATATCCATGTATCATAATTGCACTTGTACTCTTTAAATTTATATGAATAAAAAATTAAAATAAAATGGTTTTTGAAATTTCTCAGTAGAGCCCTAGCATTCTAACACACACTCAAGGGAAAATTGGGCAATGATCAGTATCGGTGTTCAATAAGGATAGAGCAGGATATATTGTTTTTTAACCTAAATCAACAGATTTGGGCCAGGTGTGGTGGCTCATGTCTGTAATCCCAGCACTTTGGGAGGTCAAGGCGGGTGGATCAACTGAGGTCAGGAGTTCAAGACTAGCCTGGCCAACATGGTGAAAGCCTGTCTCTACTAAAAATACAAAAATTAGCCGGGCATGGTGGCAGGCATCTGCAATCCCATATACTTTGGAGGCTGAGGCAAGAGAATTGCTTGAACCCGGGAGACAGTAGTTGCAGTGAGCCGAGATTACACCACTGCATCCCAGCCTGGGTGACAGAGCAAAAATCCATCTCAAAAATTAATAATAATAATAACAGATTTGTTCTTTAGATAGTGATAAAATTCCCACCACATTTATGCCAAATAGACCCAGGTTTGAACCCTTTGTGGTCTAAAGAAAACCAAAATTGAAGGGAAAACTAATGGTACCATTTAATTGAAATTCCCTAGGCATAATATAGTGTGATAAGATAAAATGTGTATTGCTATAAAGGAATGTTTTGCTTATTTTGTAAACAAGGATTATATTCTGCTTTGAAGTGCAAGAAGAAAGTCACAGTCTAGTTTTATGAAGACTAAACTAGAGAAAATAGAGTTCTCTTCAAGTATATGACATCTCCACAAATGAATGTTTATGGCTTTACACTTGGAGTATTCTTGGAACACTCTTCATAGGAAATCCTCCCTCAAGAAGACCCCCACCTGGCATCAGAACAAACCTAAGCTCTTTCAAAATTGTTTTGACCGCCTCTGAATTTTCTAATTTGAATCTAGGAGGAAAGATCCTGTATAGTCAAATTGAGCAATGTAATTGGCTAATGAATCGTTACTGTTTTATTTTAATTTAATGATGCAAACATTTTGAAATCAACTTCAGTGCCTGTAAAGTTGACATTTGTTTGGTTCGCTTCACTTTCAGGGCATTTTCTAGTCTAATTAAACCTATGTAGCAAGGACCAGAGCTCCAAAATACAACAGTCTTCACTTAGGCTCATAATTCTGGTTATGGTATGCATAATGAGAATCCAAACAATTTCACATGAAAACCAAAATATAATATACAAACTCACTATGGAATTCATCAAGTCTTATGTATCGCTTTGCTAGTATAAATATGATCAAGTTCATTCCTGAGTCTCGGCCATGACCAAATCCTATGACTTACAAATTTTGTTTTGGAATTTTTCAATTTTTCTTAAGGTCACAGCCTATGTCATTAGAACTATGGCATACATGGCTTGTCAGTCCTATTATCTGCTTGAAGCAAAGGTTTTCTTGCTATGGCATGTGATTTATTCTCAAAAGTATTTTTGTTCACAGACACTCAAAATAAATCAGTAAGTTACAAAGTTGACTTGCTTTAAGTTTCAATAGTCCGTTCCTTGATGCACGTGTGTGTGCACATACATGCACACTAATCACACCTCCAGAATCTCCTTCAGCCCATAACATTTGCAACTCAAAATCCCAGGTATTCTTCCACTAATACTTCTATCATCAACTCTAATTTTTATTGCAACAGCCTGATTCCCAAATCTGCAATTCAGGGCAAGACTCAGAAATCAATCTCAGGCAGACGTATTAGTTTTAGACATGATGGCAAGAATGTTCCGGATTTTGATAGACAATCTTCCCCCTTCTTCTGTCTTTAAGATTATAAGGAGTTCACATAAATTAAAAGATACAATGGATGGATTACTCCTTTTGAGACCCAACCTAATATCTTTTTGCTGTCTTCCCTCCGTGACTTAAATGTACTGAAAGATGTTGGTAAAAGAGAAAGCATTAAAGATATAGATGCTCCTTGCTGTTCAAGTTGCCCTTTCTAATCTGCGTGAATGAAATCAGAGAAGAGTGAGGCAAGCCTGTGACACTTCCGGGATCTCATCATTTTCAGTGGATAAAAAAGGCTTTGCATCAACCCTCAGCACCAGGGGTTATAATCCAAACAGCCTTTTAGAGCTGGAATTTACAATTTTCTTCCAAAGGACTGTGGGAGCATGTCTAAATAATTATACATCTCCACCATTGCGTAAACCAGTTTAATTAACATTTTTCAGGCATGTCACATTTATACAATCACTAAATAATTTTCTAAAATTATGCTGCACTACAAGTTGCCACATATCAACTTGGATTATTTTTACTCATGGCCCTAATTATGTCTGAATTTTATTTTCCTTTTTATATCCCTTTATTTATTTTTTTACTATAATTTGGTGCTTCCATTGAAGATGATTCATACTTACAGGCTAGCCAGATGCTTTGTTCAATTTATTTACCAAGTGTTGCATTTAATTGCCACTGACTTCATGAAAGCTGGCATTTTTTTTCAGGCAGGTATAACATTATTAAATGTCCTTTCCATTCACTCTATAATAAAAGAAATCTTGCAAAGCATTCACCACCATCTCTCTGACTTAGTCAGAATATCCTACATGAATCCAAGAAAGGTTCTAGTGTTGGACATCCATGGGATTTGAGGAACGAGGAGATTGCAAACATGCACTTTAATCGTGTTTTAGCTTTTCAGCAGCACATGTTTCAAGAAGATATCAATCAATTTACTCTCTATTTGAGAAAGTATAAAAAATTGGGAAGCAAACAATTACTATGTATTATTGCTCAAATTAATTTTTGGTCTTTTTTAAGACTATTATTATTATTACTATTACTGTCTTCATAAATGCATTCTTTTTTTAAAGTAGTAATCCCAAGCAAGACTAATAAATCAAGAGATGTTCTCAGGCATGAAGCTGAAATAAAACTAGAAATACAAATAGAATAAATTGTACAATCAAATGAGCAAGCACTCAAGTCGTATTTAGTGCGCCAAACACATTGAGCTGCATGGTTACATAAGCAGAAGGATTAGTATTTAGGTCACCAAATTAGTCTTTTAAATTTTCTTGCTCTTTATCAAGAACTCTATTTGCTTCCTGATATCATTTACCATGACGTATTAACCACAGCACTTTATGTACCAGTATTTCCAATTTTTAAACTTCTTACCAATAAATATAACTCTATGGAAGAATTATTAGTGGTTCTGACAATAAACCACAATTGATGATATCTATTAAATTTTCTCTATAATGCAAAGTGATTTTGCAGAATTCTCACTTTCATGGATTAGAAAACATATTTTATATGTTCGCCTTGACTGTGTTTATGCACTAAAAAGATTTTGAAGAAATCAAGTAATTATGTGAGGAATTCAAACTAACAAAATTATACTTTTGTTAAGAAAATTATATTCTTTTACTTTAATAGACTATTTGTATTGAAAAGCAGGTTTTTTGCCTATGTCTTTTTGTTTGCAGCTTTGTGCGTAAAGTATTAAGCTGCATCTATACTTTATTATTTTGGCCAAATCTGTTTTCAGTGACTGTCTCAAAATGACCGGCTGTTTAAAAATCAAAAGGCATAGTGTTTTTGGTGCCAGTCTACAAAGAATACTCACACACATTTGCAACAGTATGTCTGGGTGTTAACCTTTCCTTGTGCTATGAACACGTACGCGAGGAACGAAAAAACCCGGATGTTCGTTATTAACAAAGATAAATTATTTATGTTTCCTCTGATATAAATGATGCTGCAAAATTGATGTAGAAATCTGTAGAAATACATTCAGTTATCATGTCTAGATTCTGAAAAACGACCTGTGGCTTGATAGAACAACCCCTAAGTTTATGCTGTCTGCAGTCTTCACGGTACATGGATCAACACACTTGATCCATGATCCAAACAGTGTTGCCAAGTGACAGATTCTCCTCTCAGTGTTATCTCCTTATGCACACATCTAGGGAAATGATTTCCAGAATTTGAAATTTCAAATTAAATGGTAATTTTAAAGCAATATATAATTCAGCAAAAATCTTCCTTGCTCATAAAGATAGCTTAGGTCCAATAAGAATTTATTTTGTTAGTTTTATGTACTGACACTTCTCAGTTAAGAAGCCCTGCTAGTGAAGGTCACTTAAAAATGAATCATTAAACATAGAATGTAGGTATATATGTTTTGAGTATTTTAATGCCAAAACCATCGTAATTTTAATTTAAAATATCCTTCTGCTACTTACAAAGGAGACATTTAGCTGTATCTGTAGATACAGAGATATATCATTTTTTGTTTTGTTTTTGTTTTTCCAAAATAAACACCTCTATGCCATGGAGATACTAGGGAACAGTTAAATATCAATTACCTTATGAAAATCTAGCTTGTTAAATTGTGTTTTGCGTTCTGCATTTACTCATGCTGGCCCCACTGGCCAACATACCTTTCCCAGCTTTTTGTACCTATCTGACATGTTCTTCATTTCTCAAGACTCAGCTGGAAGATTCGTGTCATAACTCTCTTGTAATATTCACATTATAGTAAAATTATGGTTTGTGTGCCTGTCTCAGAAACAATATTATTACAAGATTCTGTGATCAGAAATTGTGTCTTTCACACACACAAAACGGTATTTTTATCCTTTCTACCTACCACAGTGCCTACCTGACTCATGATAGGCAGAGTATAATATATCTGAAACTCATCTGAAAGCAATTTGTGTATTTTACCAAAAGGACAGCAGCTTGAAGGACAGCTGCTTACTACTACAGGTGAAATCGTTTTTTTTTTAGGTTGTATCTATACAAAAGGGAGTGATAAGGCGATTAGCCACAAAAAGCAATGGCAAAAGTCCTATGCTGAGACAAAGTCATTTTCTGATCTGGTTTGCTTTGATTGACCTACTTATGTCAGTCTTTAATAACTTTCAGATTTTTTGTCTTTAGACATATAGACATAAAGATACTGGAGTTTCTCTACTTAAAGTAAATTGTTCATAAATTTGCCCATAAATTTCTTTTCAATTATTAAACATTATTAGGTGTTTAGCATTTACTAGTATCAAATGGGTTTGCATCAATAATATAATGCTGTCATGAATTTCTTAAATATTAAAAAAATACAAATTAATATCTAGCCATGCATTTGCAAAAAGAATATTTGCTAAGGAATAAAAGTTACTGTAATTTTTAAGACACTTTACATACAAAATGATCTATAAACAAGAGTAACCAAATGCTCTTTTATGAAACAAAAAGCTTCTCTAGTGATTCTTGCCTATCTTTTTTTCTCTTTTGGCAGGATGCTCTTTTTCTTCCACCACTGGGCCTGCCCATTTTCCTCCCCTGTTATTGACAGTCAGCTTTCATGGGACTTGGTCACAATGTAGGATCAGAAAGCACAGGTTATTGAGACAGGTACATACTTTGTAATATTCCAGGAGAATTTGCGTAATCTTCTTCAGTCTTTTCACCAGCAATGACAGTATGTTATCTTAGTAACAAATCAGCCCATGTCCTATTTGCCATGCAAAGCCATGTCATAGCTGGCATTATTAAAGGGGCAAGGGATGAGAGCCCATTTCAAGTGGAATGACAATATCTTGCCAGGTGGCGGAAATTCTGAAATGCTTCTGGCTCTGGGGTGAAGGCTAAGCCCTTAGGATGGCTAGCATTTGTAACTCCTACTGCAGTTCACACCTATGTGGGCTCAACACTAGCATAGTGCTTTTCTGATGTCATAGACGAACGGATGGCGTACAAAAAATAAGGAGCTCCTCAGGTCTTGGCAGAGTTGCAGGTAGTTTGACTAAAGTTGGACTCCTTAACTGGTGGTGGCTTAATAGATAAAACATAGAATTTTCTTATCAATTTAAAGAAGAATCTCATTCCTTTTTGAAGAAAAAACCCCAAAGATAACTTCCCTGGGGTGGGGTGGGGTGGGGTGTCTTAGATTGTTTTTCAGAGTTAGTCATTCAAAAACTTAGTCTAAATATTCACCCAGTGATTTTTACTCCTCCCTTCCAAATAATAATACAAATTTTAAAATAATCTGGGTCTATGGAAAACAAACTCCGTAAACATCAACCTATTCTTTATTTGTTATAAGTGAGAAAAAATATCAATCTTAAACTGCAACCCTTAATATAAGAAGACCTTATTTATCAAATGTATTTTTATATCTTGGCAAAAATACTATCCTAATCCAAATACAAGTCCATATACTTAGTCTGTACTAATTTAATGCATCAGATGGTTTTTCTTAAGTTCTCTACCTCAAAAAAATTCAAAACCGCATCTTAAAGAACTCAAAATTACTAAAGAAAAAACAAATATAGAAAAACACTTTTGTCTAGACAATTTAAATAAATCAGTAGATTACCTGATCTTTACTTGAGGCCTAATACATAGGAGGCTGAGACCTCAAGGGCTTCACTGGTCTTTTTGATACAGCTAGCCTCAATAAATGGAAATGGAATAATTGCAGCTAAATATAGCCAAGTGTGCCAGTTTGGATGTTCATTCATTGCTGTATAATATGATGATCCTGGGACCATAAGGAGCATGTGTCCAGCTCTTGATAGTTCTATGTTCTATCAGGAGGCATTGCAGCAGCGTAAGCCCTCGTTTTTTAAGATCTAATTTTTCTTTCTCATATACCTAAATTATAAAGACTTTTTAGTACATTAAGTTTATGGTTGTCCCTAACTACTAAGTAGTAAATTTAGCCTACTAATTGCTTTTCTGTATTTTGCCTTAATAATAGTAGTTAACATTTACTGAATATTTGTATGTGCCAGGAGTTGTTCTAAGTCCTTTAATTATATTAGTTTATGTAGTCCTCATTTAAACAATTAATTCTATGTGTCAAATGCTATTTATTATCTCCTTACTAGAAGTGAAGACCCAGTTATAATGTTATATAACCCCCCAAGTCACACTTTGAGCCACTATGCTATGTTGCCTTACACGTTAGACTTTTAAGCCTAAAATTATTCTTATTGATAAAAAGGAAGGTCATACGAAGTAATTGTTTAGCAGTTGATTCTATTTTAAATAAAAGGAACAAACCTTTGTATAATACTCTCTACGTTCCAAGCCCATTATAAGCACTTTACACAAATAATAGTTCTTTTAATCTTTACTCCAGTCCTGTAAGGTAGGAACATTATTATTCCAATAGTGTGGAAAAGGAAATTGAGACACAGAGAGACTATGTAGCTTGTCCATGGTCACCCAGCTGGTACATGACAGAAATTCAGGGAAAAAATACCAGCACACCAATTGTTGCAATTATTTTAACATTTGAGTCCTGCCACTGCGGTTTGTCTCTGAAAAAGTTGTTCCATCTTTCTAAATCTTAGCAACCTCATTTATAAATTAAAGGTGGGGGGATTCTATCATCTATAAGGCCCTTTCAAACAATCCTATTTATTGTATACAAAAACCCCTGAAAAGTCACTTAGAAAAAAACTTGTTCATGCCAGTCTGAAGATTTATGAACTCCAGCTTTTTATCTGACTGTGCATTCTGACAATTTTCTGTATTTCTCTAAGAATGGTCTGGAAAGGGATCTAGCAGGAAATGAAGAATGTATAAAGTATTTTGATGGTTTCCAGAAATGTCAATTTCAACTCAGCATCTGCCGACAGGTCTACCTAATCTTCCAAACTGTGCAAATCCTGGATCCACCATTTACCAGCTGTGTAACCCTGGACAACAATTCCATCTTTCTGACCTCAGTGTCTTTCTCTGCAAAACAGGGGTGAGAATAATCCTACTTCAATACAGTTGCTGTGAGGATTCACTGAGATAATGTGTACAAAGCTCATACAATAGTACTTAGCCCACAGTAAGTACTGAATGAAAATTAGCATTATTATTGCAGATTTCTGCTCCTATGAAAGTTAAGATTGTGAATTACTACACTTACATACACTTCCTCTGAAGTCTAAAGAAATCACAGGCTCCTCCCAAGATTTGGAAAATTGAGCTCATCTTTTTCTATCTTCAGAAAAAAAAAAATCTAGTTAAATTGTTCAGTAGTTAAGTTAGATATTATCTGATATGGAGCTAAGTTTGTGAAATATAAACAGTATTCTGTCCACCCCTCCTTAGTTAAGCTAAGAGGTATTAGCTTTATTATTTGCTAAATGTCACTTAGCATTTGATAAATGTAGCATTTACAGTGCATTCTCAGAGGACTGGAAACAGTATTGTAGAACACCCGAACCTGTTTTCCCCTTTAGGTAACACACTATCTCAGTATATAAATCACCTACTGCCCAAGGTAATGGAGAAGAAAACCAAAGGAAGTTTGACATTTATTTTGGAAGTGTGAGAAAGCAATTGAGACTGTTGAAATTTAACACTACCTTGAGGTCTCATTACACTAGCATGTCACTCATTAGTGCAAACTCACTTTTGCTTAATAGAAGAGCCCAATATATTAATCTACAGCCTTAAAGTGAGTTATTGGTTTAATGCAGATCCAATCTGAGAATAAATGAGGCCCTTTTAAAATGTATTGCAGAATGTTGTGCTAATGGTAGTTGATGACGTATATTCACTCTTTGCCAAGTTATGAGTACAAATGTGATATGATTACATCCAGGACAAGAGCCTGAATTTAAGTAAGACTTTTAGAGCTGAAGGAGATCATAGAGATTATATCATCCACCAGAGGCCCAAAGGGATTTAGAGATTTGTCTAAGATTATACAGATAATAGGTGGATATCCCAGATTTCAGACTAGACTTTCTTGAGCTCAAGTTCAAGGAAGGTCCATTCTTCTACAGTATGCATTCAGCAACAAATTATAATAGTAATAATAATTACAATAACCACCATTTATTGAATACATCCTCTGGGACAAGGGTTCTGGTGAACTCCACACATATAAGCCCTCCTCTGACCCTGACCCTGTTCTATTCCACTCATAGCTCCATGAGGTATGTCTCGTTCTCTTCATTTTACAAAAAGATGACTGAGACTCAGAGTTTGTGACTTGTACAAGGCCACACAGCTAGGAGATGCCAACAGCTAGGTCCAATCTCAGTTCTGAATCTGCACTCTTTCTACAAGACTAGCTGCTTTGCCCAAGGGGAACAAAATGACCACATCGTATCTCCTGGTTTTGAAAATTAACTAATTCACTTTTAATGACATCAAGTGTAAACAATCTACCAAATTATTAAAACATTATCTTTTTGTCTATGTGGGCCATGGATTCAAGACCATAAACTTATCGTCAGTGATATCCACGAGGATGGGAAGGGAATATTAAGCCTGGTGTTCTGCAAATTAATACTTGGAGGTAAACGAGAAGTATCATAGGCAATTACTATTCACTTAACGTTTCATTCTATTTGAAAGAGAAATTCCCAAATGTTAAATATTACCTTACATTTTAAGCTTAAAAATACACTGGACATGTGACAATGGTGCTGAGTACTTTGGGGGAAGATCACAACAGTCCTGGTAGCAGTGTCACAGCAAAATATTTCAGAGGTACCAGATGAGCTAGCTCCAAGGCAAAATGAGGCAATATTATGCTTAACTGTTGGGAAACCTCTTTTATTAAAAAAGATTTTAAATATTAATGCTATTTTCAATACAGGTGTGATAACACTCAATAAAGCATAGTGTACTTGATATAAATTTCGGAATGTAACAGTCCATCTAGTTCCTGCCCCCTCCAGTCTCCACCACATACCCTAGTAACAAAACGTACACACCTGTTTAAAAAATGAAGAAGCTTTTGGGCATTGGGTGAGCAGAGTGGAGTGGGGCAAGGAAAGTGCTCTTTCCTGAATTATTCATGCTTTTGGCTTTCACTTCAGTTAGTAACATCAATTCTAAGAGAACTGAGACCAACTCTTCTATGTTCCGCAAAGGGAGGAAGAAAAAAGCCTGCCATTCGCAAGCAGCTGTGGGCAAAACCAGCGCAGAGTACACGGGTCGGGAAATGAGGGATTAAAAAAAAAATTGGAGTAAAGTGCACATTTACTGTCAAAAATATATTGTTTTGATCCTAAGAAAATTAAAAGAATTTTATCTAATGGACTAGATTGCTGACCTTTTAATACATTTGGTTTTCATTGAACATACAATCACCATCGGACATAAAAAGACTAGTTTGCTTTAAAAAAAAACAAAAACAAAATCCTTGGAGTTATCTACAGGAATCTTGTGGACGCAATTCAAGGATAACATTCTGCAGCTCTTTGGATATTGAATGATGTCCTCGGATCAGTCCACAAAAGAGACAGGGAACTGTTAATGCACTGATACAAGTGGGCGTTTCTCTCATTTTCTCTCTCCTCCCCCCACCCCACTCCTTTCTCTAAATGCCTGTGCTTTCCAGTTCTCCTTCTTCTACCCCTATGGCATGAGACCTGGAAATCATGAAGAGTTTCTCTTTGTTTGTAAACTGCCTCTGCACCGGCTGAGGTTGCTCGGCCATAAGTGGCTCCTGGCTGGCACCCTCCGGGGAGCTCTGCTCCGCACCCGGAACAGGGGCGGCCACAGAGTCTCGCGTTTGACCGGCAACTGCGTCCAAGACCGACTCGGAGGAGGTGCCGGCCTCCCGCAGGGGTGTGTAGCCCTTATTGCTGCTGGATGGGTCATCCGACTGGGAGCTCCCCGAGTCCCGCCTGGTGGGGGGCGAGCCCTCCAGCCGCAGGGGTGGCGAGTGGGAGGCGGCTTTGGCCAGAGGGCTGGAGTCCGGGTCCGCACTCCCCGGAGAGGGCGGGGGGTCGGGGGACGGCGGCACCCGGTAGTCCGGGAGCCCGCTGGTGCTGCGGCGCCGCAAGGCCGCGTACCTGCCGGTCCTGGGCAGGCGGCCGCCCTGCCCCCTGGCGGCGCGCGCCGCTACCGCGCCCTCGGGCTCCTCTAGCTCCTCGCTCGCCCCGCGCATGCTGCCCTCTGCTCCGCGGAGGTTGGTCATGCTCAGGTCGACCTCGCCCCTCGGGATCTCCAGGGAGCCGCGTTCCCCCGGAGGCCTCTGCCAGCTGCAGCTCGCGCCCTCCGCGTCCCCGTCCCTATCGCGGTCCCCTTGCAAGGGCAGCAGCGCGAAGGCGCTCAGCGAGGAGTCCACGAGGGAGCTGGCGGTGCTCTGGCGCCCCCAGCTCTCGGGTGGGCTGCAGGGCGCCGGACTGCTGCAGCTGCTAGCGGCGGCGGCGGCGGTGGCAGCGGCGGCCCGGCGACGGCCGGCCACGCCCGAGCGCTCGCGGTAGACGCTGTACACGGCCTCGGCCAGGCTCGCGGGCTCCCGCGGACAGCGCGGGGAAGAGGCCAGGTCCGGCGGGGACGCGGCGCCCCGGGGGCGGCCGCCGCTCAGGGCCGCGGGGTGAGGCGGCCACGAGCCCTTGGCCAGCATCGCCGCGGCTCCGAAGGCGTCTCCGGCGCCACCGCAGCTCCCCGGCTTCAGTTCCAGGCCCCGCGACTGCACGTAGCTGAGGAAGCCGTTGAGCGGGATGGCCCCGGGGGGCGCCGCGGGGGGGGCCGCCGACGACGAGGAGGCTGCTGCGGCCGCGGCCGCGGCCGCGGCGGCCGCCAGGTCTTTGGCGCGGAGGCTGTGCACGTCGATGACTGTGGAGTAGAGGTCCCGCAAGTTGATGATTTTGGTCTTCTTGTCCCGGTTCTCGTGGAGGACCGCGTTCGCGCAGATGAAGAGGAAGATGCCGATGCCCATGATGAGGGGCCCGAAAACCTTGAGCTTGTCAGAGTGCAGGTAGCCAGAGAAGATGCGGAAGAAGAAGCCCACCGACGTGGAGGAGGAGGAAGGGGAGGCGACTCGCACAGGAGGCGTGCTTCTGGGCGCGCCGGCGGAACTGGAGTTGACACCCCCTGGAGCCCTAGGGTGGCTCCTGGACCGGTTTTTGCTGCCACTGCCGCTGCTGTTGGCGGTGGGCGGGACGCGGTGGCTGCTGCCCGCAGGCGGCGGCTGCTTACCCCCCTCCCGATTGGCCCCCGTGGCCTTGGGCCAGTAGCCCACCACCGCCATGGCTATGCCCACCAGCAGCACCAGGATCCCGCAGAGGGCGATGAGCCCCGAGATGGAGCACAGCTTCAGCTTGCCTTTCACCACCACCACATCGTTCTTGCGCCTCTTTTTGGCTTTCCGCTTGCGCTTGGGGATCTGACTTGGGGGGCGGAGTGGATCCTGCTTTCTGGCGGAAATCCTCAGCAGGCCGCCGGTGGCGATCATGGCGAACTCGTGGATTGCAGGACTAGCCTCTGGGATGGAGGCTTGCTCAGGGAGGGCGCCAACTGCCCACTAGCTGCTCAGCCACCTCCTCCTGCTGCAAAGCAGAGGAAGACAGTCAGAGGGTGTCGGCTTGGCTGCAGTGGCATCTCACGCTGCAGCTGCCCTACTCCCAGATCCCACTCCATGTGTGCCCCCAACCCCAGGGCCTTTATCCACTAACTGAAACGAAGGCCGTGTACAGAGGCTGGGGCCAGGTAGACATTAGGGAAGGGACCTATTAGTTGCAGCAACTAATAGGTGGTTATAAAACATTGCAGTAACTAGTATGTGGTGATAAAACCATCTGAAAGTATGCCTCCTTCTCCCCGCTCCCCACCCATCTCCCCCACACACTCCATGGGTAATAAGAGGGTTTGAAATGAACAGTGGAGTTCCAACCATTAGTAAAACCTAAATGTAGGGACAAAAGCAAAGTAGTGGTTAAGGACTTTCCTGGCAAGATTCTTTCCCTTAATCCTTCTGGAATTGGAAGATTTTTCAAGGGAACTACCACAGGAGTTTCAAGTCTCTCTAAGCTGGGGAATCTGTCAATGTGTGGCCCAAAGTCACTAAAACAGTCAGGAAAGTTACTACTGTATAAAGACAAAGGAATTTATTTCACTGGATGAAAATTAAAGGTCATATAATGGCTGGCAGGCGGTTTATTTACTTCAGATAATTAACAGGGAGTTCATCACTGGGGAAGCAGCAGAGATATTGCAGTACTCTGACAATAAATCCCTTCACAAAGTTGTCTCCCACCTATGCCTGTTCCTACAGCTAAGTGCAAGCAGATCCCTTGCACAGCCTTCTCGCCTCTCGGCAACATCTGGACAGCTTCTTGGGGTGGAATATTTAGTTTTAGGTAACTGCTTATGTAACTGAGCTCTTCCTTCTGGCCTTCTTTCCTCCCTCAGAGGAACTCCCTTAAAGGTATCATGTGCCAGATTTCATCAGGGAATTTGAGAAGTCCCCTAGAATCTCCAAGAGAAAGATCTTTTTTATCATATGGGAAAATTACAATTAAAAAAACTAACACTCTGCCAGAATAGCTTTCTGACCCCTTATTAAGGTGCCAAGAGCATGCTACAGAATTCCAGTATTCAAATGAGGAGGCAATTAACTAGGTAAAGCAGCCTCCATAATATGTGATTTGGAGAACGACATTTCCCCCAAGCCAAAGCTGTTTTGTTGTTGTTGTTGTTTGTTTGTTTTTTCCTTTTTTCCCCCCCTTATCCCTTTCTCATGAGGTCATTTTTAGGAAGGGAGGGTGGCAACAATCAATGGATTACTCTTAGGAAGTTTATTTAGTTGTTTGTAATAAAGCCTGGGTAGGTAGATTCACAAATGCATATCGGTGGTTATTCGGCAACCTCTAAAAATTATAGTCTTGCTGTATCTCCAGAGTAAAACATTTTCTGTCCCATTAGTTGTTTTCCCTCCTATGAGATGCTAAAATTAAGGACATTGTATGAAATGAAAGACTTAAATATCACTCCCAAGCCTTTTGCTATTCCATCCTTTGTCAGATACTTCATCTTTTAGAATAAATTCCCCCTTGAAAATGTGTGGTAGGTAGAATTTTGCTTTTAATTGGTGATTGGGTGAAAGGCTTTGGCCCTTGAGTTCCTCCATTATATCAATATAGGCAGGATCTTTTCTCCATCAGTGGGAATGCAAATGGTAATCAGCTCTTTACAATGTTTGCAAATCAATATCTCTTTGGGACTTAGTTGAGTTTCAGTAAAGAGAAGCACCAGGTAGATAAGAGAGGGGTCAGTATAGAGAATACATCTATAAACCTTTAAGCTGCACCAGTAAGTACAGATTGAAAAAAAAATATTGTCTATCTCTCATCCCAAATAAATAGGCACATTTATTATGTGGTTGTAATATAGAGACTGTTGGTTATAAGTGATCCTTGGAATCCAGCAACTTAAATAATCTGGAGATCCGTGGTTATCTTAAGAAGGCTTTAAGGATCAGACATTTTTTTAAAAGCGAACTCAGACTCAGTTGGCAGGGTGGCTCTCCCACCGAAGAAAGGCTACACGTTTTGCTGGGCATTGATCAGGTGCACCAGGAGCCTGGATGTCTTGGGGGAGGGAGAAACTCACTTGGATTTCTCCTCAGCAAAGCAGCTTTGGCTCCGGTAGAATGTAAGGAATGGATTTCAACAGTCCTTTACCGCACATCTTTAAAATGAGTTTAATAGCTAGTAATTAACTCCCTCGTTTATTATTCCTTCAGCTCTGTTGAAGGCTGTACTCCCTTTTAATGTGTCACCATCTGACACGAAATACAGACAAAGGTCAGATGCCACGGGAGACCCACCTTTGAGGTTTTCCTTTATACCTAATGCAAGAAAACAAACTTAGCAGTCAAGCTTGGCTGCCCTCTCAGTTTACTGCCTGGAGCTGGTCTTACCGTGGTTAAAGAATGGAGGATGGGGGAAGCAAAGGAGGGAGGTCTAAAAATACAACTGCTTCCAAGAGAGACATTCAAGTTCTCCGCTCATGATGGATTAAGCCCCACTCTGAGGCTCGGAGGCTCGGAGCCCACAGGCTGGGAGCGCTGTGCTATGCCCGGCACCCAACCCAGGTCCTCGACCCCCCGGTCCTCACTGGCAGGGCGGCGACCCCCTGGCCCTTGGCTTTGGTCTGCTTATTGATGTTGGCTGGAGTCACATGAGTGCAGCAGCTGGGAGTCCGCCTCTGGAAAGAAGACAGGCAGCAGCGAAGTGAGAGCAATCTGGAACTAGCTTTTTCTGGACAGCGCATCCCGTGTAGCCAGCCCAGTAAAAAGCCTCTCCCCGAACACTAGCCCGGGGCGCGGGGGTTCGGAGACCCGAGGGGCGGGGAGGGGCCCCCAGGGGCTGGGGACTGGCAGAATTGCTCAAAATGGCAGCACTCTCCGCACACAACATCGCTCACTTACCCAGGGAGACCGAGGGAGGTCGGGGCCGGCGAACGGGCTCTCGGGCGACACAAAGGAACCATGGAGAAACTTTTTCAGCCCGAGCCGACGGCGGAACGCAGGGACAGCGCCCCCGGGCCCTGCATCCGAGCGCGGCTCAGCAGCCCCGCAGGGGCGAGCGCCCTCCCCAGACTCGCAGCCCCCTCCGGCGCTGTGGCGGGAGCCATTTCCAAGAGTTTCCAAGAAGTGTCAGGTCCTCTGCATCCCGCATCCCGCCTCGGAGCCCTCCTCTCGGCCGCTCATTCTCCCGCTCGCTGCCTCCCCTCGCGCGGCGCTCCCGGGCGGGTCCCCGAGGCGGCGCCGCCGGCCCTCGCGCCTCTTTTGTGTGGCTGCTGCGCGCCGGGCTCCGCCGGGTGGAGTTGAGCCCGCGGCGGCGGCTCGGGGCGGCCGGACTGGCGGCTGTTGCTAAGAGACCGGAGCCATGACACAGGGAAATTGCGGCAGGGTGGCGGTCGGGGCCCGCCCGGCTCGGCGGCTTGGGGGGGCGCCCCCGCCCCCCGTCCCGCCCCCTCCCCCAGCGCCCCCCCACGCCGCCGGCCTTCCCCGCTCCCCCGCGTCCTCAGCCGCCCGCCTCCCGCCGCCCGCAGCCCGTCCCTTCGGAAGCGCCGCTTCCCTGGGAGGAGGAGGCGCGAGGGGAGGCGGCGGAGGCAGCCGACGCGGGGCGCTGGGGCCGCGGGGCAGGGGGCGCGGGGCGCCTCCTCGGCCTCGGCTCTTCCCGCCCCGGGGCGCCCCGAGACCGCCGCCTGCCTCCGCGGGCAGCTTTGTTCTTCTTTCTTCCAACTACCTGTCTGAGCCGCGGGCCCCAGAGGCCCCAAAGAGAGGCCTGGAGGGTCTCCCCAGCAGCATCCGAGGGGCGCTCTCGGGGAGCGAGGGGCCAGAGTCCGCGTTCCCTCCGTGTCTGCCTCCCTCCCCTCGTGTCTCGGTCTTTTGTTGCCTCTACTCCTCGGCACGGCACAGCCTGGGTTGTTTTCCCCCTCCCGCTTGGGAGTTTGCAGTGTGGATGCTCGGCGAGCACAGTAAGTTGTCCCCCAACGAACTCGGGCCCCGGCGGAGTGGAGCCGCCCCCGCCGAGCCGGGCGCACCGCGGGACGCGTGGAAGGCGCTGTCAGATGTGCTCGCGCTTCAGCCCCGCCGGGCTTTGTGACCAGCCTGACCGGGAGCCGGCAGCTGGGGCTCCTCGGAGATCAGAATGGGCTCCTGGGCTCTTCCTTGGGCAGCCCCTCCTGCCCCTCCCGGTGCGGTAATCAGCAACCGTTAAAAGGAAAACTATAATTCTCCAGGAATCAGGGTTAGAATCAAAGAGGGGAGGTGGGGGTAGGGAGGATGTCCAAACTCCCTACGTCATTTAAAAGAGAGAGAGAGAGAGAGAGAGAGAGAGAGAGAGAGAGATATTCTGTTTCCTAGCTCATCCCTGTCCTCTGAACTGTAAAGTAAAAATGACAGGGAAAAGATAATTTCAAAGTGGAATTTCCCCAAAGATTATTGAGAAAGTGAGAAGATTTCAATTATCTGTTGAAATAAGGCAGCCAGGATCCAGGAAGAAAGGAACAGAAGAGCAGATGAAGCAAGTGCTGTCTGAAATTTTGGATCCAGACAAAATTGGGTGGGTGTTATATATTCTGAGTTTTGCTGCTCAGGGGTCCACAAAACCCACACAGGAGGGCTCTGCTGCCCACAGCTCCTGTTACAAGATTGTTCCCCACATACACAGCATTCACTTGTGCTTAAATCTAGAGCAGACACGTTTCAAAAAGAACAATAAAGACAAAAAATTTACAAGTTAAATGATATAAATGTGAACAGTGATCTAAGAGATGGGGATAGAGACGGTGGGGGACAGGAGGGAAAGAAGCAGAAGTGTTTTCTAAAAGGGAACCCTGCATTCACCTGTTGGAAAGGTGGCCTCTGTCACCCTTTTCAAGCAAATAATGAATCTAAATGATGATCAGGGTGTCCGGAACCCACCGCCTTCCCCCTACTTATTCCTGCTCAGATTCAGGCTATTAGAAAACAAACCGTAATGAAGGGAAAGTTTTAAATCCCACATTGGGTTGTTTCTTTTGAGAGAAATCACTGCAAAGGAGAAATAATAAGATCTAGTTGTCGTTTTCTAAAGCCTTTTTGGTTCTGAACCTCCAGATCTCTTGAATACCAATAATAATCTGGTATTTTGTACAAAGATTGGGCCTACAGTCTCATTTCATTGCACAGCTAGCTGCCAGAGTCTATGGGTGGCAGTTCCTATCCTCTGTTTGCTGGGCTGTACAAACAGAAATAATACTGCAGAACTTCATTAGGATTTTAGGTGGATTAAACTGCTAATAGTTTCAAGTTTCTGTGTAAATTATAGCCATCATTTGCACATTTAAAACTCATGTGAGGGATTTGGAGAAGAAAAGAATTCTTTTCTAGACAAAGGGCCTTGGGACATAGCTAGTTTTTTCTTATGTTGATGATTGCAACAAAATTTATGGCTTATATCTCAAAGGCTTCCTTCCAAATTGGGCTTTTTGGAACTTTGAACTGTTTTATTTAACCTGAGTGTTATCACGTTCAGTAATTTTCTTTGTTTTCAGCTCATGGTATCAGAGGAAATCAAACAGATCACATCTGTTTCCAGTGGAGTCCTTTATCCTCTCTGTAAATACAGAATCAACATACATTCCCAGGGTCTTTCAAGTTATGTAGAGTTACTTTTAAAGGAACAAGGATACTCTTGGCCCTTCTGGAGTTATTTTCCTTTTAATTTCACTGGCCATTTCAGTTTGGATGATTTCCGAGAGTGTGGGACCGCACTTTCACCATGCTGAGGACTGAAGGGCTATGGGTACCTAATCTTAATAATCCACTAGTGCTTCCAGATTTTGGAGCTCAGCACAACCTTCTGACCTTGTAGCAGGGAGTGTAATGAAGGCCCTGGGAAAAAAAGAGAAGAGGATAAAGATTAGCTTAGTTTAGTTGGATTAAATTCTGACCTGCAACCTTTCATTGGCTCTTTCTTAAAAAGAATCCTTATATAATTTATTCAGTCTCATAATTTATTCACATCTCATTTACTTCCCTGATCATTTCACCAACCTAGCCTGGTGTGCTTGACTCACCTGCCTGTGTTCCCAGGGCTGTGTAGGGGAAGACAATGGCCTGCCATGGGCGCACACAGGACCTTCTTGGTCTCCAGGAGTGTGCCAGAGAAGGGGAGTCTGCTTTTACCAGCAGCTCAGCAACTCCTGCCTCTGCACACGGCTTTCTCTCACAGATAGTACAGGCTGCAGAAATAGTAGTTTAGTGTTGTGAGTTCTGGAGCCAGTTTATCTCCTCCACTAACTAAATTACTTAATCTTGTCTGCCTCAGTTTCCCCATCTGTAATGGGGATAATGACACTGATACCCTATTCATAGCATTGTAGTAAAGATTAAAAGAGTGTAGTCAGTGTAGGCGAATGCTTAGCACATAGTAAGCACTCATTACACTTAGCTATCACCTTATTGGTCCTAACATCTCCCAGCTTGATACCCTCACTCTCCTGTTCCATTCCTATTTTCTGGGATCCACATGGAACTGTATCTGTACTTACTATCTCTGAAGTAGGGTTACAGGATCAGCTGTTGCGATTGAACTACCCCTACCCACATGACATAGGTCCAGTGTCACTCCAGAAAGCTGGCTCCATATGAGAATGAAAACACTTTCTCCGTTGCAACTTTGCTCATTTTGCAATTAACCCGGACCCTTTAATTTCAATGTGCTCAAGAACTCAGATTTCAAACTCATGGCACACTGTAGTCAAATTAGAAATTTGCAGAAACACAACCAAGAGACATTCTTCAGACCAGAAGCTGGAAGATTTCGTAGAAAGGACCTTCGAGGCTTTGTATGACATCTCTACATAAGAAGACAGAAACCCCAGGTCAAAAACAGGATACAAAATCACTCCTCTTCATTCCTTCTTTACCCTTTTCAAACCTCTGCCAATAAAAATCAAAATGACAAAAAAGCATGCCAAAATAAAACAATAGGCATACAACTAGAGTCACTAGATTTAGCAAATAAAACTATTGCGTGGGATATACTTCCACTAAAAAACTATTTGTTGTTTACCTAAAATTCAGATTTAACTAGGCATCCTATATGTTATTTGCAACCCTACCACTGTGTACCTGATAGCCTTTCAATTTTCTCATGGAACATGCAAAGGACAAAAGGGTTTGATAAGGAAGAAAACATGAAATGCAACATTAAGTTTATTTTGGAAGAGAATAAGCAGAAAAAGAAAACACAAGCAAAGCCTGGATGGAACAACAGAACTTCAAAGCCTGAGGATAGTGTTTCCAAGCCGGACTGGGCTTAGCCCTGGGGTTTCTCATAGTTAGAGGTTGCATGGTTTGTGTTTCTAGCTCTTTCCTATGGAACACTGCCATGCTAGAGGGACAGGCAGTTGCTCCTGCATCCAGTCCCTAGGGTCCCACAAATGAACTTCTGAAGAGATAGAGCTCAACTCACTTTCAAGAACTTCAGCTTTGAAACCAAGGGTAAACTTATGCTAGTGTTAAGGTCAAGATCAAGTCCATTTCTTGTATTTCTGAGAGGAATCAAAGTTCAAGCCTAAACACCTCCACCACAGAAACAGTGGAAAAAAGAAATGGTGCAAGATCTAAATAGCCGCCCTTAGAACACATCAGACAGGTTCTGCTGCCTCCATTCCAGGTCAATAGCATGTAGCAATGACAGTTTCCATCTCTGTCTTCAGCCCCATTCATTTGTCTTTCTCAGTGAGAGACCTACCAGGGGCAGTTGTCTCTAGTAAGTGGGGTTCATTTTTATACATTCAGTTTTCCCCAATAGCCTGAATTTTTTACCATTTTTCATGTACATCATCAAAGCTGGATTCTGTGCGATTCTTGCGAAATAATTGAGGTCTGAGATGAGAAACTAGAGTTTGTTGGCAGGCCTGAAAGCAGATCAAAGCTGAGCTTGGAAAAAACTTTGCTGGGAGGGCTCCATCAGTGGAACAGCCAAGATGAGACCCGCAGCTAAATGTGCCCTGTGTTCCCAAAACATATCCTAAACGTCCACACTAACGGCGTTCATATCATTTTGTATAATCTACAAGTGCTATGGAGAGATAACTTGTCCTACTGAGAGCTAATTGCTCACATGTCTGATCTGCTTTCAGAATTAATTGTGACGTGAGCTGCTGTGTGTACACCACAGGAAAAAGGAAACACGCAGATAAAGAACGAGTTTTCAGAAGTAAAGACAGAAACCTAAGAATTCCAAGTAGCAATTTCAGGATTGCTACTTCGGTGGCAGAGCTCTGATTCATCCAGTAAGTATTTTCTTAAGCACCTCTGTGTACCGCACTCTATGATTCCTGCATCATTCACTCAACAAATATTTACTGAGTATCTACTGTGTTATCGTTATTGTTCTAGGCACTGGGGATAGAGTAGTGGTGATCTGTGCAAACACAGTCACTGTCAGTGGTGGGGGTGTGAGATAAACAAATAAACAAGTGAGAAATTTTCAAATCTTGGTGAGTGGTACGAAGAAATGAAAAGAGGTTGCTGTGACTGGTCACACGGGCAGCAAGAGAGAACAATTTAGATTGGGAATTCAGGGAAGGCTTCTCCAAGGAGTGTCATTCCACTGAGAAGTGAAAGCTGAAAAGGAGTTGATCATTTGAAAGTATTCCTGGGGAAAAAATAATGAAGGACACAGTGTTATTAGCATATAATCTAATTAGATTCATCAGTACATCTTGGGAAAAAAAGAAGAAAAAGATCATTGAGGGAGAAAATTAGTTAGGGAATACTTTATGAGTCTGGATCCCCAGCTTGACTTGGCATGGATTTGGGTGAGTGGAGGGAAGGGGTAGGATGGGGCATAACCTCTTT